ATCTTGTGACTTGACATTGCCCCCTTTCAGAGTTCAGGTCTAGTAAAAATGTGTATCAATAACAAGAAATGGCATAGTACCAGCTGCATAAATACAATATACTTGTCTAGAGTGGTGATACTCTAAATATTATTAGCAATTGAGAACTTACATTCAAATATTTTGGAGAAGGAACTTGACTCTATCAAAAAATAAAAAAAAGAGGATCTTTTAAAGAACCAAGAGGGAATGCAGTTTTGGGCACTTTGATAAATCTCAATCAACATCTTTTAGAATAATGCAATCAAATCACAGAATTTTAGATCCTGAAATAATTTTAACATCTGCAGTTTAGCAGAGTAGCACAATTCAATTTGCTAAATTGGGTTGGAAATAGTTGAAGACTTTAATTCTAAATTAAAAGACCTTGCCATTGATTCAACTTGTAAACCTCTTTTCAGTCCTGGGTGTAATGCTATCCAGTTTGTATCCTGAAGATATTTACATTTCTATTTAGGTTGTAAATGTCATTTAGAAGCAACCTAATCAAATGTTAAAGAAGGCATTTAATAGTTGTAACTGTTAAAATATATAGCTAGGTTATGACTTAAAAATGTAACTCTTTTAATAAGCTTTCTTTTCTTTTTGCTGGAATTTGAAAAACCTAAAAGATGTGGCTTTAAATAGATAAAACCATTATGCACAGAAATGTATATTAAAAAAATACATTCTAGGTACCCATTACAGGTGAATTAAATGTGAATTTCTAGAGAAATCAAGAAGGCTGAACGAAGTTTAAATTGGACTGTGAACATTAACTAAAGAGTAGGCCTGTAGTTAGCAGGTGATGCATTGTGATTTTCACAGAAAGGCTAAAATGGAAACTAATGCTTAACTTCATGGAAAAAGGAAATTCCATTTTCAAACACTTATAAGTATACTCAGTGGTTATAGAAAAAGATAATAGTTGCTGTAAGTAAATAGCTTATAGTGCATTTACCGAGTGAATTTTGATTGTTAAAGGTTTATACTAAAAATATGGCCAGAATCCTCCTTAGAAGCGAGAATGGCCACTTAGTCTCTTGCTTTTTGGTCATTTTGTCAGAAAGGATGGATCGCTGGAGAAGAATGATCATGCTTGATAAAGCAGAGGGTCAGCAAAAAAGGGAAGACTCTCAATGAAGTGGATTGACACACAGGCTTTGATGAGGGGCTCAGGCCTGTCAATGATTGTGAAGATGGGGTACTATCAAGCTATGTTTCATCCTGTTGTACACAGGGTTGCTATGACTTAGAATTGACTCAACAGTAGCTAACAACGTGAAGTATTAATACCATAAACTTGTTAAAGGCTTGGAATCTGCATCAAGAATAAAAAGCTTTACTTCCTAGTTCTGCTACATACTAACTAGTAACGTAAGCTTCCTGTACCTCAGTTTCCTCATCTATACAACAGAATAAAGGACCAGCTCACAGGGCTATTGTGTGAATCAAATGAGTCAATATAAGTCCATTATTTAGAATAGTGCTTGGGCTAAGCACCTAATAAGTAATTCTTGTTTTTCAGGTATACTATAATACATGACTTTTAACTTACTATTATAACCATGCAACCAGCATGTTTCAGTGGGAGATAAAATGGAGTCTTTGCATTGGATCTTCTGAGTTTTTGTGTTCGGTCATTACAATGGCCAACCAATGGTATATTTTTCTTAGAGGGCTTGTATGGGTTAGACATTATCCACTTTTATTGTATTTTTTCAATTTTTTTCCTTCAAATTCTTAGATATCTTAGATTTTTCACTGAAACCTAACAGCTAATAAAACTTCCCCAATCAAAAAAGTACTGATTCTGTAACTTCAGGAGTCCCTGTCTAGATCTAATCTAAATGTATCAGGAAACTCATTGCATAACTGAAGATTCATCAAAAGTGACTTAACAGATTGCGGCTCAGTTTGGGTCCTGTGAATGAGAAGCCCTGTTGTGCGACTTTGGTGTCCGGCTGCTCAGAAGTATTTTATGCTTTCATATCAAAGAGGAAGGAAAATCTCCTGGAAAGTGAAATGTATAATCATGCTGGCTGTGGATTCCACTGAGGAAATCAACCATTTTAATCCACAGAAATGTCCTAGAAAAAGTCAGGGCTGAAGGAATTGACTATCTACAAGAGATGATATATGTAAACGCAGCATTGTTGGTTTCTAGTTCCATGTTGATTACTTTGAAAATATTTGTCTTATACCCCAAATAACATAGACCTCTAAAATCAAATGATTTTGGGAACATCCAATTAAATTAAGAAACTAAATAGAGAAATAAACAGTGCTAAAATCTTTGTGACAATTTACAAAACTGTGATAGCGGGTGCATGACTGGTCAGTGTCTCATTCTGTTGTACACGGGGTTGCTATGAGCTGGAGCTGACTCAGCAGCACCTAACAACAACTGTATCTTTTTTAAAAAGTCATTTTCAATAAATATCAGAAACATTTAAATTAGGTATACTTTGCGATTATTATCTTAATCTTGCAAAAATGCTATGTTGGAAAAGGAGTACAAGTCTGAACTTTATTCTCAGCATACTTAATTAACTAATGAAGTTACATTTAAATTCTTCCTGCATCTCAATAAAATAAAAAGCACTGCTAACACACACTCTTTATGAAAGTGCTGTAAAAGAACAATACATGATTTCCCTTAGTACTCTTTTGAAGAAGCATTTATCCTAATATAGGTCAGGTTGCTCTGTTCCAAATGCATTTAAATGCTTTTAGGAAAAGTGCTTTATGAAATACTTTATACATGACAAGAGCTCTTGGTTAAAAATCTTACTCACATGTTTGAAGCCTTATTGTGGTATTCTGGAATTCTGATAAATACTTGCTGCCTATCAACTATATATATATATCTGAAAATCCACTTTTTTTTTTCCCCAGCATGCAAACCCCAAAATTTAAAATAAATAAATAAATAAATAAATTAGTACATTTAAATCCTGAGTTTTACTTAAATTGATTTCACAGCATCATGAGGTGGTTCTAATACATTGTTTTGACAAAATCTTCAAGTTTTATGATTGCTTACTGCATTAAATAAAACTAAGGATTTTCCCTGGGTAACTGTTAATATTCGACGAATTTATTTCCTGAAGTGCAACTCATAGAACATTAGGCTTATAAAAGGCTACCTATAAAAATGTTTATGGCTAAATAATGGAGAAATGCTCGATACTAAATCCATGTCACCATGGAGAAGATTCTTTAGAACTCATGATCCCTGAAAGGAGGGAATTCTGTCTAAGCCTTGTTTACTATAGCTCTGAGCCTGCAGCAATGTATTGCTATTAATAGGCATTCAGCAGGAATGAGTAAACAAATGAATGGACATTAAGGGCTTTGAACACTTCTTTAACCAAGAAACAACTTCAATTTTTTTTTGTCTAGAGTATCTCACATTGCCTTAATCATAATTTTATTTTCCTTCTGTTACTACTATAGAATATTTTAGGCATAAAGAAAACAAAAGTAATAGAACAAACACACACATAACCTCCAACAGATTAAGATTACAAGTAATAAATGCAATGCAAGTCTCTTAAAGACCCCACCCCACCCCTCCCTCAAAATGACATCACGGCAATATTAGGACTTTTGTTCACACAACACTTACTAACTTCCTGCTCTTGGAAATCCTGGACTAGGAAATTGATTAAGTCTCTTCAAGCTCTAATATGTGTTTTGCAAATGATCATCTGTAAAGTGATCCACTTACCATCAGTACAAACAAACAAACACAAAACATTATAATATAGATGCAAAACAAAGGGAAAATGATATTTATAAAAAAGCTAAGTAGCTTCTGTTTCAGATGGATTGTTATGAAATCTAAAGCTACATATATAGCTTCACATATGTAAATTACATTATATATATATTTATATATTTATATTTACAATGACATGAGAAAGTATAGAAGTATTAGTGACTTAATCATGATAGAGTAATTTAGAAACTATTCTCTACATCTATATATAAAAAACAATCTAAATCATTGGATTTTGACTTACTCAAGAAATCATCTGTGGCTGCAAAAGTAAAGATCCATGTCACAGTGTGTCGATATTTACAAAATAAATGATGCCAACAGGATGAAATCCCCTTCCTGAGCTGAATAAACAATTGTTGTTGTTACGTGCTGTGAGTCTGGCCAACTCATGGTGATCCCTTCTTGGGTTTCTGAGGCTGTATCACTAAGTAAGTAGATTGCCCAACCTTCCTTCCTAGGAGTGGCTGATGGGTTTGAACCGCCAGCCTTCTGGTTAGCAGTCAAGTGCCTTCAGCACTATGCTGCCAGAGCTCTTGAATATTATGATGGAGCATATTATGATGGAGAAGCATTTAGGACTAACACAATTTAATAGTAAAAGAACTGCTTTTAAAAATACCTCCCACAGCATTATTTTTTGGAGGTGTTGATGGTGTAAAATCTTTTTTCCTCAATGTTTCAAGTATCATTATAGATATTTCTAAATTGTATCAGAAAAACTTTAAACATGGTGCTAACTAGATGTTCTTTTGATTACTTTTGTACTTTGCTTCATAAAAGAGATTAAAAAGGCCTAGCCAATACTTTTTCAGACTTACTACTGCATTTTTAAGTTTCATGTATACAGGATGTCAAATAACAAATCATGAACTCAGTACCCATAACTGTAGATAAAGACACATACAATTAAATAATAGCAACAGGGTAATAAGATGTATAGTTAAATATGTGGTAACAGGTATCCTGCAGTTTTATAGGCAAATACAAGGGTCAGAATTTCGTCCCACTATTAGAATTATTTCATTCATATTTTCAAGACAACCCAGTGAATTCTTCCTATTAAATACCAACAGGTAGTGAAATTATAGCCCACGCTCTATGTTTAGAAGCCCATAACTCCTCTGTCATATTTAAATGAATGAAATGGATTAGTATCTTAAAAATGTTTACAAAAGAAAGAAGTGTCACCTCTTACCTCCATTATCTTTTAGATGTAGTGCAATCTTGGTATCATCTAGAAGAAAAATTCAAAGTTATGATAACAGAAAAAAAAAATTAATGATGCATACATCTCACAACAAATCATACTGTACTAGCTGACTTAACTGTAGCATCATTAGACTTCAATATTTTATTGAGCTAATTTAGTCTCAATAAGGGCAGGTCCTTCCTTCACATGATGTAGTACTAATATTTCCACTCTGATTGTAAGATGAATATTTTAATACTTATAAAGTATTACATGTTTATTAAGCTACATAAGAGAAGTGAACAATTGTAATTTAAAATGCACTTATTTTTAATTTTCTAAAACAGCTTATTATAATTAGGCCTTATAGTTACGACCTTCTTTTTTCATTTTTAAAATCAGGATTGAGAAGAAGTCAAATTAATTGGAATAATAAAGATCTGTCAATATTTACAAATTTAACTTCAAAATTTAAGCACTTATATCCAAAACTAACAAATATCACCAAAGTCACAGAACAGATCTTGTCCCTCCCAAACAAAATGGGGAATGTGCTTGTTTATTTCAGCACCTATATTCACTCTAAAGAGTAACATTAAAATTACAGAAATACTTTCACAGGCATTAACATAATAATGCATAATAATATGGACTGAAATACAATGTTGCTTTCAAAAGCTCAGGAATGCTTTTAGGAGTTACCCTCCAATTTACTTTACTCCAATTAACTTTTAGTTGTCAATTACATTTCAATCAAATTAAAATTTCAAAATTCACTTTAATTTTTCATTCTAATGGCAGCAAACTTTACAACATTGAGTAAGTAAGGTCATTTTTACTCCTTCTTTAAGGCTCCTTTTTGGGCAAACTAGTCCTTAGTAATACCATTCTGGGAAGAGTACTAAAAGAATATCAGAGCAGCCAACAAATGTTGGCACATTCACACCTTTTCCCCCCTCCTATGAGTTCCACGTTTGCATTAAGGTTTGGTAGTATATTTCCTCTTCTAAAAGAGGAATCATTTTTAAAGGACCATGTCTGTGACATATACAATGCCCCTCTATAGATGACAAACCAATACATTTTGTTAACACTAGTCAGGAAAATATTAGAATTATGTATAATTATTTATTGTTCAGAATCCAAAAATCTGTGGACATTTTACATGTGTTTAATCTTTCTGTCCCATGATGAAAATGTTGAATTCAGTTACTGCAAAGTTTAGCAACATTATGAGAAGTCTGTATCTATTTACTACAGAGGACAAGTAGCCAAATTCACTGTTAAAAGCTAAGTGTTAATAAGAGGAAAATTATATTAAAATAAACCTAGCATATATTTTTATTCTATAATAATTTTTACTTTTTGCCTTGAAGAAATACCTTAGAAATATAATTTGTCAGAGATTAGCCTGCCTTTTAGAGTGCAACTGTAGTACATGTCAACACAGTGATTTTTTTTTCCTTCAAACACACACACACACACAAAATATCTCCAATGTACCTTCTGTGGGCAGGCTGGTCGGCAGCTGTGATGTTGCTGACCTTCTAGTGGTGGTTAAGACCCTGAAGTGTGTAGTTGTTGGTTTGAGAGTTGTGGTGGTTTGAGGAGAAGTTTCCACTGGCTCTGTGTCTTCACACATCTTCTCTTTTGACTAGTAAGAGAAAGAAAAAGGAAAACATAAAACACTGATCACATTCATATATTTTAAAATTACATCAAGTATTTGTGTTCTAAAATGCAGACTCTCAGATCAAGATTAAGATTTATATTGGATTATATTTATATGTATAACAGACCAGACAAAAAATTTGGAAGTAACAAATCATTTCCAACTTTTGATGTTTTGTTTCTTTTTTTTTTTTTGGATTTCACCATTTTCTGCTCTTCATCTTTGATGTTACTGTTTATTTTACCCTAAATTTTCTATCAATATATTTATAAAAGACATAATGTCAAAAGAGAAAAGTTTATGCTAGAACACAAATACATGCATAAAGGTAAGATTTAAATCATGCCTAGGTATATGAATAAAGAGCATATTTTTATATTAAACTGATAAGGCTAAATCCTAAAAATCTGTTAATTTCTCCATGTCATTGTTTCAAAAAAATAATCTACTATAGGTTAATTGGAGGAGCTTGGGTAGCGTAGGGCCTAAAGCACTTGACTGCTAACCAGAAGGCTGGCGGTTCAAACTCACCAGCCACTCCTCAGAAGCAAGATGGGGCAATCTACTTCCATAGTGATACTGCCTTGGAAACTGAAGGAGGGGTCTCTATGAGTCGGGTCTGACTTGACGGCATATAACAACAACAATAGGTTAATTGGGTACTTAAAATTTTATTTTGTTTTATGAATATTAGAAACCACAGAAGAAAAGGATTGAATAGCACTTAGATAATCACTTAATCTCTCTCTCTCTTCTCCCTAGCAGAGTTAATCTGAAGACATCAGGAAAAGGCACATATGATTTTGTAAATTTAAAACTTCACAAATAAATCCTGTAACTTTCACTGGTAACAATCTCCAACATCCAAACTTTTATAGTTTTGTAGTTTGTAGTTACAGTTTTGTAGTTAGCATTTTGTGTCTCAAAAGATTCCTATCTTTCTTGTAGAGTTTGAGCAGAAAAATAACTTGCCTTTACACATATGGTACTTGTTTTGGCTCTCTAGTGCCGCTATAACAGAAATACCACAAATGGGTGGATGGCTTTAACACACAGAGATGTATTTTCTTACTGTTTAGGTGGCTAGAAGTCCAAGTTCAAAGTGCCAGCTCTAGGAGCTGGGTGGAAGCCCCATGAACTTGGGGCTTCAGCTCTGCCTCTGGCTCCCGGGTCCATTGAAGCTGGAAGCATCTATTCACTCAGGTATAGCTACTAATTGTTGAGGCTGACAAGCCCAAGGTCAACAAGTGAAGTGGCACAGTCCCAGAATTATCAAACTACATGGCAGGCCACTAATTCAAGTCTGTTAATAGTCCCAAGATCAGTAGACAACATGATAGGCTGCTGAATGACGACTCAGCTACATGCAGGAATCAAGCTTGCTAAAAGCTAGAGACCTTCCTCAAAACTCCTTTTTACATACTAAAAGCAGACCACATGCCTAGGGCAGCTACTCAGCTGCCCCAGCAGATTGCATAATGGAGCTGATTACCAGTCACATCACGGGAGTAACTACAACCAGCTGCCCAACCACTCAAAACCAGGCCCAGCCAACTTGACACACAGTTTAACTATCATAGTGCTTATCCCACTTTTGGAAATTATTTATTAAATAAATATGATTCTTAAACTTCTCTTGTCATTAGTGAAGTACTGTTTTGGTTCTCTACTGCTGCCAAGACAGAAATATCACAAGTGGATGGCTTTAACAAACGGATTTACTCTCCTATAGTTCAGAAGGCTAGAAGTCCGACTTCAAAGTGCCTGGTCTAGGGGCTGGGTGAAGACCTCTCAACCTTGGGCTTCAGCTCTACCTCTTACTTCTGGCCCACTGAAGCTGCAGCCAAGCAGCTGCTGGCTGTTGAGGCTGATAAACCCAAGGTTGACAAGTAAAATAGCACAGTCTAAAGATTACCGAGCAATGTGGCAGGCCACTGCTTTAAGTCCAGAAACAGCCCCAAGACTGGCAGACAACATGATAAGCTACTTACTGATGACTTGGCCAAATGCAGGATACAAATGTGCCAAGAAGCTCAATACCTTTCTCAAAGTGTCTTCTTACATACTGGAAGCAGACCACATCCCTAAGGCAGCTATCCAGCTGCTCACAGTAGATTCCACCATGGAGTTGATTACTAATCTCATCATGGGGAATAACTACATCCAGCTGCCCAGCCACTAAAACGCAGGCTCAGCCAAGGTTACATATAACCTTAGCTACCACAAGTACTATGTACCTATTTGCTGATTCGTGAAGAGGTCCTGAAATAATTATATAGAAATTGGTTATGATATAGGTTTATTCTTCATATCAAGGTCTAACAATTTAGGGGTCCATTCAATCTTCTAAACTTGAGTTCCTGCATCTTTTCAGCTCCCATGATCTAATGATTTCCTCCCTGATTCCACTTCACTCCTAATTCTCACACCATGGACCTTACTTTCAAGTGAAAATGATTTAGGTCTACACGGTCATGGGGGACATCAAACTCAATTGGCACAACATAGTATATACAAGTATTGTTCTACATCTTACTCAATGAGTAGCAACTGGAGTCTTAAAAGCTTATGATGGCCATCTAAGATGCAACTATTGGTTTCTCCTCCTTTGGAGTATACAAGAGCAAAGGAAATCAAAGGCATATGGAAACAGTCCAGAGGACTAATGGACCATAAGAACCTCAGCCTATATGATCCTGTGACAATAAGAATAACTAAATGGTGCCTGGCTGCCAATACCAACCACTTGGAAAAGGATCAAAATTGGACATTCTGGATAGAGTGGGGAAAAAATGTGGAACAAAATTCAAAATCATAAAAAAGACCAGGCTTATCGGTCTGATAAAGACTGGTGAAACTGTCAAGACTATGGCCCTGGGTTACCTTTGGGCCTGGAAATGAACTCACTCCTGTGGCTTAACTCTCAGCAAAAAAAAAAAAAAAAAAAACAAGGCTCCAGGAATTGTAGGAATACTTGTTGAGATGTTTCAGCAAAAGGGTGCAGCACTGGAGGAGCTTACTCATTTATGCCGAGAAATTTAGAAGACCAAACTGCACTGAAGGAATTGGTGAAAACAAGATGCTAGCAATAGATAGAACACTGGGATGTTTCAAGAAACAGATGGAACAGAGAAGGTGTTCCCTCATTTATGCCAGGAAATTTGGAAGAGAGCTACCTTAACAATGTACTGGAAGAGAGCCAAATTTGTGCCCATCCAAAGAAAAGTGAGACAACAAAATTCAGAAATTATTATTATTATTTTATTTTTAAAATAAATTTTATTGAAATGTAATTTATGTACAATGAAATAAACAAAACTAAAGAATGCTTTTGTTTTGGAATATTCTTTCCTCTCTCCTCCCACCCCTGGTAATGAACAAAGAAAATTATCATCCATATATAAACCTTTCCTTGACTTTTTACAATACTGAGCTAACACTCTATTTGTCCATCTGTGATTGACTTATTTCACTCAGCATAATATCCTCCAAGTTCATCCATGTTATGTGGTATTTTGCAGATTCTACACTATTCTTTAGAGTTGCATGCTATCCCACTGTTTGTTTGTGCCACAGTTTGGTTATCCATCCTTCTGTTGATGGACATGTAGGTTGTTTCCATCTTTTTTGCTATTGTAAATAGTGCTGTGATTAACATGGGTGTACATATATCTATTCTTGTCCTAGCTCACTTCTTAGGAGCTATACCTAAATATGGGATTGCTGGGTCAAATGGTACTTCTAATTCCACCTTTCTAAGGAATCACCATACTGTTTTCCACAGTGGTTGCATCATTTTACAGTTCCACCAGCAGTGTAGGAGAGTCCCAATCTCTCCACATCCTTGCCAGCATTTGTTATTTTCTGTCTTGTTGAACTTTGCCATTAGTGCT